AGGAGACAGAAAAAAATCACATTTAAATTGTCTGAACAAGCCTCCTACTCCTGCTAATATATATATTAGCAGATCAACAGGTTTGACACTATCATGCCTCAGTTCTCCACTGCATACACAATTGCCTTACATCTGGTACTCAGGTGGTGCCTCACACTGAAACTGCACTATTTTCTCTCCCAGAGCCATCAGGCTCCATGACTGACAGAGAGAGATCATGATTTTTCATCCTTTGTATTTATGTTCTTAAATAAATAACTACTGTGTTTTTTAAAAACAATAGGAAAACAATAGCACTAATGTTCTGACCTATAGGTGAATCTATGTGTTATCTAAAATACTTTCTTTATGATTTTTACACATATCTAATTTCTGAACTGTTGCAGAAGGCTTTTGACAAATTTGTCAGTTGTAGATGACGACTCCATAATGCTAAGTAATCTTAGAACCTTATTGGTAGCCAACGAGTCTTTTGCTTTGTATCAGAGAGGCATCAAACACTTTGGAGCTGTAAAGAAACATGAAAGCATATTAACCACTATTTTCACCCTCGACTATTTCTCTCACATCCCTCAGTTATTTTAAATTAAAGACTGGTAAATTCCTTCACCGTGAAGCAAGTAGAATTTACAGTTACATAATCTGATGCAGTGTCAGTCCATGACACTTTCATTATTCTGTTTTTTTTTCTGACCTCGTTCTCGGTTTCATATATGTAAATGAGGAGAAAGAACCGTCTCATCTTTGATAGTTTCCAAGTTCTTTTGATTCTCCTCGGGGTGTGACTGTGGGTGTTTGTACACACACTGGTGTGATGGGGTTCCCAGCTTGTCCGTGAGAGCTTTTAGGTGCTGAGATATAATGCAAATAACAAAAATCCAGAGTTGATTTTTGTCTTGTATGTGCGGGTGTCTAATTAGTATTCAAAAGGCATTACTGTGGATGCAGGAATATATATTGTATGCCAAATATGTGATTCATACTGCCTAATACAATATAAGTAATAGACTTGTTTATTTATTTGCATTTAATTAAAAAGTAAAAGGTTTCTGACCATGCCCCTTCAAGATTGCATCAAGCCATCATCCCAGAAAAAAAACACATACGTGTTTGTTGAAATGAGCTTAAAGATAGGGTTTGGTAAGTTGGAGGGCGATTCTCTCCTTGTGGAGCTAATGTATCTCCCATTACCATTAAATGGCGGTATATGTGCGTATTAAGGGAAGAATATTAGTGATTAATAACAACCCACATTTTCCAGTGTGCTGAACTCTTTCAGGAACCAGTGAAGGTCCTGAGAGCTGCCTAGTTTAGCTAAACGGTACCTTAAATGAATGTATGTTTTATAGCAGATCTTTAAATAAACCCAGTGGATTCATGATCATTTCAAGGTCAGTCCAGTCTTAGCTTTTAACATACAGCCATGTAGCTAACTGTGCTTACGAGTAAGAAAGGGTATTTATTTCAAAGCTGGCAAACAGTGGTGGTTGGTCTGCAGCTCCCAAATTAGGCCATTTTACTATTCAAAAGCACTGTGGATTTTTTCTCCTCTTGCCAGTTGATGATATTAACTAGTCATTTGTTCCTGAGAAACGAAGGAAAAGGATGTGTGTTAGGCTCATAGTAACTTCAATTAGTTGTTAGCAAAAGATTTTATCCTGGTAAAAAAAACAGGAAAAAAAAATCTTTTAAATTAATTTGAAGATGCCTACATTTAGAGAATGGCATTGCTTTAACAGGGCTATGCAAATGAGTCCAATTTAGCATCTTGTATTCAGCTGGAAACCATTGCTAAATGATCGGGATAGCCAGTCACAGATATTAAAATGAATTATATCTAATCTGAATTTTAGTCACGCTACATTAACTAATAGAAAGTTATTAACATTTCAAGAGAAAAAAAGCTTTTGCCTGCAAAATTAACAGTGGCTGAGATGTGACCTGTGAGCCATGCAGCCTGATCACTGTAATGACAGTGTAATGGCATATTTACATTAAAATCTCTGCAGCTAATATGTGATTCAGAATTGGACGTTAAGTCGAGGATTATTTAGTCTGGCCTGTTGGCCTTTCTCTAAGTAGTTTTTTTTTACTTCAATACAAATCTGAAACTTTTCATTTCATGACTATTTATGTGACTAGTTTCTATGGCTATGTCTCTCCATCTTTACATCAGCTGCTTTATATGGCCAGCTTACTCTTTCATTTTTCCCTTCCGTTTTCCAATGTATTTATCATTTTTTGCGGGCATGTATAACTTCAAGAAACCCACATTAGTCGCAAGCCAGTCAAGAAAAGGAAAATGTATTTCTACTTCATTTTTACTGCTAATTTGCTTCAAAAGGCAGTATGTTTTCATGTTTTCCTTATAACACTTTTTAAATATACAGTACCCTGCAAAAAATGGATGATTCAAAGCCATCTTTATCCAGACAGTAGTAAATCTGTTATTATAAAGCTATTCTTATCCTTAGGAGGCAATGAAAACCTGCTACAGTTTCTCCTGCCACCAGTTCATTTCTACCAAAGCAAAGGCTTGAAAGTTCTGGACCTCATAATCTGGCAATTGTATAATCTGAAGCCTTGTTAAATTTGTGGAATACTTGCACATATGAATTTGTTTGGTTCATTATTTAAAAGACACAGCAACATTAAAAAAGAGAAAATGCAATGAAATTAAGAAGCGAACTGGATAAAATTGCAACTACCATTTGATAATTAGAGCATTATTCAAAGAAGTTCAGTTTAAAGATGAGTTTGATTGGGCGTGTGTTGGTTATTTGTACAAAACAGGACATTTTCATGAAGGTTCAGACTCCAGCCGGACCTTCAGTGCAGAGAAAAAAGCTGAATGCATTCTATTAATGCACCTTTTGAAAAATTTTAATTATTGATTTAATTTTTGTATTAAAGATGGTTTTGTTTGCCATTTCCTATGAATCTATAGGCAGATACTATTTTTCCTATATGCTATTACTGAAATATATAATCATATATAATATGTATTGGTTTTAATGAAAACTTAAAGAAATCGCTAAAGCTAAAAGCAACAGTTAATGACCAAAAGCATATATCTTATACATTACAGATGTGTATACATTTACATACAATATCAGACAAATATATAAATGCACAAATTTCATCCAAAATAAGGAATAGAATTGTCCCATAATTAAGTCTTCAACACAGCTGGTATTCCTACTAATTTTGTACTTGCTGTTCTTTAAACTTTAAAAACATAAACAGAGCCTCACATGAATCAACTTTTTCACTGGTTTGTTTTCTGTTTACAAAGGGTGTGTTGTGCTTCTGCTTCAAATTAGACATATGTCAATCACATTATAGTCATGTATGCCACCTCACCTCCATTTCCCAACTAGAAAAAGAGAATAATATAGGGACATCTGTTTGACTGACAAGTATCTATGCAAAGAGAGCTCTGCACACAGATTTGTAATAATCACAGGTGCTTCATTTACTGCAAATGTACAGCTTCATCATATTTCTGAAATCTTTATTACGGTGCAGTCATACAATAAATGCTGATTGAAGGAATAACTAGAAATTTCATCTGATATAATATGGTAATAAGCTTAACTTCATTTGATATTTCTGAAATCATCTCCTAACATTTGAATTTTGTGTTCATGCATGGATAATACTAAGCTCAGAGCCAAAGACAGCCTCCTTTGTGGTCCCAGATGGACTGCAGCTGCTTCAGGACCCATGGCCGGTAGATTCTGATGGCAGTGGAACCAAAGCAGCCTCCTTGATATTATGGGACTGCCACTGGGACTCTTCAAAGACATCTGTTTTTAACCTTTTATACTTTGGACATAGTCAAGTATCTGGTAAAGCTGTACCTATCCTGCAGCACTTTCTGCTGCCCTTTAGGTAGATACCACTGCTGAAAATTAGGCCAGACCTCTGAAAATAATACAGAGAATTAATCTTGTTTATAGTTATAGGACTGAGTTGTCCCTTTTCCTCACAGTCCTGTGTGAATACCAGCACCCCCATGCCCCCCACCTACTAGGGACCTGAAATACTCTTTCAGTATTGCATTTAGCTTTTAAAGTGGTATTTCCCCAGTTTAGTTAGGGGTTTTTTTTTTGTAGCTTGCCTGTACAGTTGTTGTCATTAATATTACCAATCTGAACATGAGCTGTACAACAGTCAGGACCATTTTTTACACTACCAGTGCAGCACACTGTTATTTCTACAATTGCCTCAGTAGTATTTCTGTTTAAAAGCCAGTTTAATAACCTGGAAACACAAAGAATGTAGGAATGAAACTGCAAAATCTTTGATGTCCAGATTGACTAACAGTATCTGTGGAGAGTAGGAGAGGTTAAGACGAGACAGAGAGGCATCTAAACAGGAGTAAGCTAGAGACTCAGAGAGGTTGGGTTGGTTGCCTATGCTAACCATCTTCAAAGCTTTGAACAGAAAAATGGTGTGGCTTTAACAGCAGGTTTTGTTATAAAATAGAATAAAAGTCAGGGATGCTGAGCTTATTTTTTGAGAGAGAAGACTGAAAAAATAAAACCCTACTTAGTTAAGTTTGAAATGTTTTCAATGTTAAGTGATTCTCAGGGGACCTCACTGGAATGTGGTCTTCTGAACCTGCCAAGGAGGTCTCTGGGAATTCAGTGGGCGAGAACAAGTGTCTCTCAGTAAGGTCCATCTGCATCCTCAGAACTATCCTTTGATAGCAGAGGTTTCTCAGGAGTTGCCTGTAATGGTGAGAAAATTCCTTTTGTCACAGACAGGTTCACCAGTGATCCCCTTCTTTAGGAAAATGAGTAGATTCCCATAGTTCATTAACAAAAAATTTTCAGATGTCAAAGGTTGATCTACCACCTACTACTGATACCCTGCCTACAAGTTTCACTGCCAATAAGCCAGCTGCTATCAAAGGAATTCTGCTAAGTATTTTGCTTGGTATTAGACAAGACCATACAACAACGAATGGTCATGAACGCACTGTTTTCTTTCAGGTGCTTCATTGTTCACATGCTAAAAACATGCCAGAAGACAATATTGCTCTTTGCCTTCACTGTGGATACAGAATGACTAGATTAGCTGATGAAATTCAGATTTAGCTATTTAGAAAAAGGTATCTGCCTGCTTTGGTGACAAAACACTCAAGGAGACTCACAAACGAAAGACATAGTGCTTCTTTCTGAAAACTGCATGGGCCTCATCTCTACTTTCAACACTATTGTCTGTTACTACAGGAGATCTGATTTTTCTGCACCTCTTTCCAGCCATGTCCAATGAAATTTGCAGAAGACTGATATCTTCTGCAGTGTTCTTGATGCTATGTGATGTTCGGATCCTACTGGGCTCTTTAAGTTGGAATTTAAACTTTGGTTTCCTACATTTTGGGATGGTTCTCTTAAATTACACTGTTGGCTTGAGAAAATTTCCTAGATTTTTTTAAGAACATTCTTTTCTAGAAAGAAAATTTCTTTTCCATAAAATCCATGTTTATTCACACAACCAAAATGAGTAAAATATACAGACAGGGGGATAGGGAGGGAGAGAGGGTGTAAAGAATTCCCAACTAACAAAGAAGAACAGTTCTACTACTGACTTGAAATTTCTGTGACAGTTTGGGGAATCTGTCTCATTCCAACATTTTTAGGAGGTTACAGTTACTTTTATCAACTTTATTTTTGTGACAAGTTTGCTTTTCATTGGATTAATTTTCAACACAAAAGAGTTATCAATAAGTGAATAAAATATCTATATATTGATAATGTGTTAATTGTGGTGCAGGTTCTTCAAAATTATCTACAAAGAAATACCATCTGAAACTATCAAAATGTCTTATTTCCAGTAAGTGGACTGAGTGTTGAATGGAGCCCCTTTTAAATCAGTTTTGACTTTTGCAGAATTCATTAAAGAACATACTTGAATTCTTTCTTACCCACCCCCTCCTGGTGGCTCTCCAAAGCTTCCTATGATATTCTTTTGTTGATGAGGGGTTTCCTCACCATTTGTGACAGGCTCCATTCTCTGCCTGTGTATCTCTCCCTAAAGCATCTCCATGACTTTTCTGACGCAATGTTGTACGCATGAAAGAATCATTCTGAGGACTCAAGCAAACAACCTAAGCCTGTGAAGCAAATGATCAGCTCACCTTCCAGACCTTTCTAAGTCTAATGCCCATTCTGAAAACTACAAAATCTGCATGCCTCAAACCAAAGACTAAACAGCCTGAAACTTTAGATTGCCACCAGCAGACAAAAGTAAGAAAGGCACATAACAATCCTATATGGCCATGAACTGGCCTATGTTATGAATGCTGAAATGGTTTGCATTTTGTGAGATTTTTTGTTTTGTTTTGTTTAATTTTTTTCCTTTTGCTTAGCTCCTCACCTGCTTTCTCTACTAATGAAGACTGTAATTTTCTTCAAACATACTCTTGTATAGAATCTAGTATCATCAGCCATTGGCCTAATCATTGACTTTTGCCACATCACTCACATATACATAAATTGTAAATAATGTGACCAGATGCTTTCCTTAACTTACATGAATCTTGTAATTTAGTTTTCTCTTGGTTGTTCCTTATTCTGGTTTTCAGTGTTGGCACTCAAGGGCTAGGCAAGGATATCATAGATTATTTGAGCTACATAACAGGGAGACTCTCTCCTAAATCATGCAGCTAAGCAGATGGAAGTATCAGAAACATGCGGAAAAATAATTAATAATTTACATAGTACAAAATGCCTTATGACCATTGTGGACTAGCCTTATGGAAAAGAGAGGGACTCGGTGACTAAAGAACTTGAAACTAAATGTCAGCAAGCTATTCACTTAACAAATAGCATCCTAATTTCTTCTTGGCTTTCTATGTAGCCACATAAAACATAGCTTCTGCCCACAAGAGATTATAATTTTTGTGGAAAACTTGAGAATTCAAGTAAGAAAAGAGAAAGATGAAAATAGTTGGGCAAAAAAGCAGAGCCTTGTGCATGTTCAGGAAACTTGCAAGCAATGTAAGGACCAACACTTCTTGTTACTGGGCCTTAGCTGGAAAGTATCTGTTAAGGGCAAAAGCTTGACCCCATGGAGTCATAGGAGAGAAGGGAGGTGAATGAGACATCAAATCATGTAATTACCACCTCTGACAGACTCTTCAGCAGTGAAGAGTGCACAGAAACTGCCCCAGCCAGCAAGAACCACATTGAAAAAACTGAAGACGTAAAAGAAAAAACCCAACAGACATATTAAAGTATGTGCCAAAAGATGGAAAACATGACAGAGACGCTGTGAAAATTCATTCATAGTCCTGAATAATTCCTGGCACATTCGTGACGAGGAAAGCCCCACCTGAAAACTGTTGCATCCATGAGTCCAGGGAAAAAAGTCTGGTTTCTAAAACCAAGAACTTCTATGCTTTGCTCCCTTCAATGCTCACTCTTACACTACCTCTAAAATCCTTTTCTCCAAACCAAACTTCTGAGGACGTCTCCTCGCGACAGTCTCTGGCTCACCATCTGGGTCATGCATCTTTTCTCCTCTGCCTATACAAAGCATAGAATCATAAAATAGTTAGGGTTGGAAAGGACCTTAACATCTAGTCACAACCCCCTTGGTGTAGGCAGGGACACCTCACACTAGACCATGTTGCCCAAGGCTCTGTCCAAGCTGGCCTTGAACACTACCAAGGATGGAGCATTCATGACTTTTTTTGCACAAACTGTTCCAGTGCCTCACCGCCCTCACAGTAAAGAACTTCTTCCTTGTATTTAACCTGAACTTCTCCTCTGTAAGTTTAAAACCATTACCCCTTGTCTTATCAGTCCCTAATGAAGAGTTTCTTTCCGGCATACTTGTAGGCCCCCTTCAGGTACTGGAAGGCTGCTATGAGGTCTCCACGCAGCCTTCTCTTCTCCAGGCTGAACAAGCTCAACTGTCTCAGCCTATCTTCATACGGGAGGTGCTCCAGTCCCCTGATCATTCTCGTGGCCCTCCTCTGGACTTGTTCCAACAGCTCCATTTCCTTTTTATGTTGAGGACACCAGAACTGCACACAATACTCCAGGTGAGGTTTCATGAGAGCAGCACAGAGGGGCAGGATCACCACCTTCGACCTGCTGGTCACGCTCCTTTTGACGCTGCCCAGGATACGGCTGGCTGGCTGGGTTGTGCGTGCACACTGAAGCCAGCTCATATTCAATTACTCGTCAACCAAGCACTTGTTACCAGTCTCCATTTGGACATTGAGCCATTGATCACAAGCCTTTGCATGCAGCCATTCAGCCAATTCTTTATCCATTGGAGCCAATTCTTTATCCACCAGAGTCAACTCTTTATCCACTTGCATCTCTAAGTCATAGCTATAGATCTTGCCTGTTCGGTTAACACAATCCGGATCTTTTATTGGTTCATCTTTCTGAACAGGCACACAGAAGTGACTAAAATTAACTTAAGACATGTTGTATGCTTGAATGTTAAAATCAGGAAGCTCATCACTGCCATTAATATAACATAACAATTTTAGTGGTCTTTTGGCATAATCATAATATGCCTTACTTAAAATACCTTTGACTTCAAAGCAGGACGTAAAGACCTGGATAACATAAAATAAAACTAAATAAGACAGCTCCTCTAGTTCTTGAATAAATTCCTACTGGTTATAATTTAGATATGGATTTGCAAATGTTATTGAACAGCTATGTATCTCATGCCATTTTTATTTTTTCTGGTATTAAATTTAGGCAATTCCTAGTGTTGTTGGACAGACAATGTCAGCAAAAGCAAATTTTTGAGCTTAAAATTTCTTTAAAAATACAGTTTGACTTTGACCTTTACAAGGACACTTCATGTAAAGCTAATTTACAAACATTTCAGTCCTAAAATGTTAATGCACTACAAGGTTAATTGCTCTGATTAATCCATTAAACAAGAACCATATGCCCTTTCTTATATTAACCATTATTTACTTATTTAATTCTAATGTCCAAAGTAAGTCCAAAAGCTCCTATGTTTGCTACAAAACCCAACAAAATGTTAGTTAGCTAGATCTCGCAAAACTTCAACTGGTTTTTACTTGTGTGCTTTCATTAGTACTAAAAGTCTTGGCATAAAAAAACATGTGGCAAACAGGGTGGTCAGCAGTTTTTTAAGATCACTTGCTGGAGCAGTTTAAGTCGGAGAGGCTAACATACCTCTTGTTCGGTTAACAAAATATTTCTTTCTTTTCCCCTTGCCTGTGATTTGAGAACAAGAGAGGAGATTTTTATGTGCATATGTAGCAATGGTAAGCAGCTGTAAAAACCTCCCACCATAAAGATTGATGAATATATGTTTCATTAACACCAGCACATCTGAAAGACATTTGACACTTTGGAAGACTATGGTTCTTTAAAATGCCTCAGATGAAATACCTCATCATATGGTCTTTAACTTCCATCTTAGGAGCCTCTAGTGGCTTCTCCATTTAAAAATTTGTAAAACCTTAGCTTCTGAATTTACCTGACCACAGCCTAAATATTTATTTTACTAGAATATTTGGTTGCAACTATACATGTGTGTGCAGATGTGAGATCTGCACTTAGAAACATGTGAAAAGTCTTTCTGAAATCTTTATTAATTCCTCCATCCTGTATATAGTGCTTTTCTGTTTGTGATTTTAAAGACTCACCACACCCTACAAATGTCAAACAATAGATAACTACAGAGCAAATACTTTCTGACCATCCCATGTAATTTTCGTTGAATGGCTGTTAACAATGGTCAAATCTGTAAGGTGCACCATCTTTTTGTGGGTGTACTGCAAAGAAATCCAAAACCTGAACCACATGGATAACTATTTTCTACAAATAACATTTTCTGAGTGCTTCTAGCTCTGATACAGTCCTGGATGGAGGACATCCACCCAATGCTTGTAAAGAAAGAGCTGTCTTCCAATAGGGCGTTTATCAGAGGTATGGGTAGAGGGCCCTACAGGATGCTTGTCTCACACCCCTGGAGAGAAGATTGGCCTCCACTAATACATGTGGTGTCACTGAGGGCAGGCAGGCAGGTTTCCATGCAGACTCAGGTAAGCTCAAAGGCTTTTGTCCATTCAGAATGAAAAGTACATTGTACTTGACAATAAACCTGCCATTTGAAACCTCAGGGGTTTTAATCTTATAAATAATAGAGTTCAGAGAAGAAGGGTTTGCAAGTCTGCATAGCGCTGCCTGGAATTCAGATTTATGTAATGCACTCATAGGAATATGGTGCTGAAATGCATGCACCATGGTGTTAGAGCATTTGAGATTCAAAGCCTATACTGCACAAAAATATGCAATGCAACACTAATATTTCTCTCTGTTATGCCATTTTCCCCAGCTGTTGGGAGAACATCCATCACTCAATGGCAGGTCAGAGCTACCCAGTCCACTGCATGCACTGATATAGCTTTTTACTTTCTATTGAAGCTCCTGTTAACAAGCAGGATGTCCACAGCAAAGGAAACTATCTATCTGAAATCTGTAAAATGAGCAAAAGAAGGTACACATTACTAATCATGTACAATAAAATCTTTCTCACTCGTTAGGGCTGATAGCAACTCTTTATATGTCAGCCCACATATTTG